TTAAGTGCTCGCGCGCGAAGCCAGTAGGTCCTGGGTTCAAGCCCCGCGTGGTGCGGGATCGTGGATGCGCATTGCTGAGGAGTCCCATACTAGAACGAAACGGCCGTCCAGTGCTTCCAGGTTTTCAATGGTGGTCTAGCTTCAATTGACTCATGATTTCAACCTGTGACAATTACAATTGTTTTCGTTAGTTAATATAAATATCACTCCACTCAAAATAAAGTCTGTATTATCCCTAGTCCCTCAAAAACTTAGTAATAATACAAAACAGACAAAACATTTTCATTCATTAGGGTAGCAATTATTTCATTTTCAACTTTTATTACGAACTATATTGTAAGCCTAAATAAAATTGTTATAATAACAGGAATATACATGAGAATGATGAAAAAATAAGATATAAATTGAGGTAAGATAGAACTGTGTACCGAATTGTGGATTGACTGGTTTTATTACACTTATTTTTACTATTTATATTAGTGAAAAGACCACTTTGGCATAGAATAAGGAAGGTATCAATCAAGTACCAATAATATTAATAATGATAATTATAACGATAAAAATAAAAAATATTGATGGATATACTGTAAATGAAGCACAATTAAGGAAGATTTCATTGTTCACAAATGTTTATTTTATTGTCTAAAGCAAAAAAGAGAAGAGAAAACTATAATACGATTAACATTAAGTTCTGTTATGAACTATTGGTTTAATGTTTGATACAAACTATAAAATTTCAAAATCTCTACAAATTCCCTTTGTAACTAATTGTTTAATTATTTATTTACACGTAATCATTTTTTTAGTAAAAATACAAGTATATAGAAATGAGATAATTGAAGGAGAATATAATTAAGAAAATACAAGAAATATAATGATTACCAACCTTTAATTTGCTTGTAGTAAAACGTTCGCATAGAATTGGCAAATCTGACTGATGTATACCACAGCCATTATCTTGAACTTGGATAAGTTTTAAACCTCCATCTTTAACAGTAATCTATTTTAAAAAAGAAAAAAATGTTAGTATGTAGAAAAAAGATATCTTAAATGATAACACAGATTAGTTAAATGATTAACTTAACTCAAACACCAGGCACCAGGGTATGAGCATGAACAAGAGGGCTAATGATAATACCCAACTGCTCAAATCGAAGTAGAGTGGGATTTAAAACTAAGACTTAAAATCGGAAATATACAAGTTTACTATCTAATTTTATTAGTGTATCTCATCATTTCATAAATACTGAGCATTATAAAACAGAATATGAATATCAAAGGAGGGTAATATTGAATATTAACCAGTAAAATTAGTTTTATTCTACATTATAAGTCCGAGATATATAAAAAAGTATGCGAGATTAAAATCACGAGTGAAAATTTCATTAAGCCTAGAAAAACAAGTGTGCCACTTTAATAAGAAAACAGATTACAAGAGGTGAATGAGTAATACACATAACTACTTGTTATATAAGTTATGTCATAAATGTAACACCTAGTAATGATCAATTAATAAATGAATTAAAACATTGTGTCGAAAAAATAATAATATTAATTATAAAGGATTTGCCCTCGAATATGAAATACGATAATACACTGAACACTAAACTAGATAATATTGCAAGTAGATACACAATTCCGATCAACAACTGAGAGACAGATAATAGATCAGAATCATTGTTTATTGACACAGTGTGAAATCAGAATAGAATTGAGTTATGATGCAATCAATCTGTTACATACAACAATAGCTTATATACTTAATGATTTTCTGTCCTCCTTCCGTAGCCATTCTTATTTTACCTTCACCGGCCACATTATCAGAAAGATTCTGAATGCGGTAGCTAGCCACTCAACTATAAAGGTCTTTATTATGACGGGAGGTGTGTAAAGAATTGCTCATCACGAGCTAACGTCATATGAACAACCCCTGAAAATTAGGGAAAACTGAAAATTTGTATTATTCTAGTTTAGTCTCTGCGAAATTTGTACAACTTTCAAGAATAACCTACACAAGATGGATTGTTAGAGCGTCCAAGAATTTACATGACCCTTGACTCTTAAATAAAAAAACATCAATGTTTTCCATTCTTGTTTTTACACTAAGAGCTAAAATCTAGCGATTGACTTATTAGAAGAATTTAACTTAACCAAAATCTATTCACAATTAAGAAATATTAATTATCAACTCATTTGAACTGTTTAAAATACATTTTATTGTATTAACCAAATATATGTTAGTAATATAAACAGAAGTTAATATGTAGTTCGGATCCTCTACAAAATAATTGAAAATTTGTGAAAGGATTCACTTATTGAATAGATAAAGTACTTCCTGTAAATCCAGCTGGTAAACTGAGAATTCAATAGGCCAAGAGATGACGTTTTTATGAATAGGTATTGAATTTCTTTTAAAAACTACCTGGGACGATAAAACAATGTTAATCATGCTTTGCTGAGTAAAAGCCAAAAATGTGTTAATAAAATTGGTGATTAATCAGTTAAATTAATAGTCAGTAATTCAATGATATTTGAATAATTCCAGCTCAATGTACGAATTCCTGATGAGTTTCAAAACAGTGCAGAACACCTGTTTCAGTATTTCACGATTCTTAACAGTTCTCCATTCTTTTTATGAGGAATACTTAACAATTTCAAAAAGAAAATTTTCATAAAGAAAAAAACATAACTATGAACTTCATCACATAATAAAAATAACTGATATGAGATAGTATTGATCAGTTAAATAAAAAGATTAAAGTGAAACAAACCACGCATAAGTACTTTTATCATTGTACTACCAGCATCTATACTATTCTCTAGGAGTTCTTTAATTGCATTTACAGGACGTTGTATTACTTCACCAGCTGCAATTCGATTGATTACCTCTTTCGGTAGACGTTTAATGATCTGTGGCATTGATTTATCTGGACTTAGCAGTAGTAAATTAGCGGAGGATTTAGAATTATCATCTGAGTTTAGTTTATCCATTTGGCTGAAGGTTAGTGGTAAATTTCGCACATAACATTTAATATCCAATGAGGAATAATAAACACCTTCACTACAGTAGTAACCTTGAAAAGTACTGTAGACTTTCGTTCAGATCAGAATATTTTACTTGAAAATGAAAAAAAAACAATTGGTTAAAAAAAACTGCATAATGCAAAGCATTAAAAGAAAGTATGACTACATAGAATGTCTAACAAAGATAAATTGATGTAACAGAAAATCACTATAAGATTAAGCATATCAAGTAATAATAAACAAATATTTAATAAAATGGGTTTCGCGAGATGAATTAGAAGTTAGTTTTCGTCAGAGACTAACAACAGGTGGAGAAGCATAGAAAGTCAAAGAACACCAAACATTTGCTTCGTTTTAGTTTGGGGACTTCAAAACATTGAGCACCTACGATCTAGCATCTAATCAAATGTAAAACCTTCAGGTCTTCAGGAGGTCGAAAAGTCAAAACATAATGATTAATGAAGTCGCCAAGTAATACGGTCACCAACAGTTAAGAAAGTGTAGGGACTGTGTAAGTTTGTTATGATACTGCAGAGATCATAAACAAATCAGTTTCAGTTTCCATAAAATATTTCACACGAGGACAAAATAACTAGTATTGAAAATAAACTAAGTCAGTGGCCAGATTCTAATAAGTTAAACCTTTTCAACAAGCTATATTCTCTCATAGTTGACCTTTTTAATCGGACTGTCACATTTATATCGTAATCACTATAACATTTTTCCTAGAAGCTAGACTTGATACTGTTGATGCTTTTAATTTATGCAAACTGGAACGCAGCTCAGTTGAAACGAACATGATTGAAATAATCAGGCCAAACTGACAGGCAAGAAAACTTGATAAATAATGACTGAATGAAATAATATTTTGGGATATCAAACAAATTTCTGCTCCAAGTTACGACTACGTTTTTAACTAATTTAAATAATTACATTTCCAATATTTATCTTGACGAACTATTTAGCTTATTCTCATAAGGAACAATTTAACTGACTAAAAATACATATTTGAAGCAAATTTGGATAGTGTAATAAGTAGACGAAGATTATCAGAACTATTTGAAAAAATATATTTTGAAGTGATTCGTAAGTGGAATGAAAATCAAATTTTTTAATTGTTAACAAATATCAGCATAGAATATATTCATCTTAGATTAGTCAATGCTAGGATCACAAGATTAATGAGTGATTTATTTGTATTATGACTAAATAATCTAGTCTGTTGGATGAGGACTATATAAAAAATTAGGTAAATAAAAAATACATAACAAATTCTTTTTATAGTCATTTTTAAGGAACACTACAAAAAGAAGTCATTCATGCATAATTTGTGATAAAAACGCATAAATTTGACTCAGAATACACCCAGATCTAATAGAGATAAAAAGTGCGACAGAGTTCCAACCTCTATATATTCGAGTGGCTTTACTTGATTTCCCTAAATACTTAACTATTTAGTTGGAATTTTCCACTATCTCTCCAGTATGCCAAACTTACGATAACACTCACACATAAAATCAACGACTGTGAACCAATTAATATTCAGCTGACCATCAATTTTCAGAACTGAAACACTGTCTAACAATACGATATTAACTCGTTTTGTATATATAAAGTTGGACCATTATTGTTATCATTACATTCAACAGAAAAATGAAATATATTAAATGAAAACAAGTGATTTACAATAATTTTAATATAATATGAAGCAAATGTTGTTTAAATACATAAACAACAATAAGAAATCAACTACTGGACAGATAAATTAACAGTAAAAACAAACAAAAGAAAAGAGACAAAATAAAGAAAGACAAGGAGGTAGTGATAATCGTAATAATAAACATGGTATTACAAAATAATATGGGGTGGAAGAGGAAAAAGTTATTTTTCTCAATGAAGTTTACAAAATAAATATCGATTAGCTGGACATAGCGGTCAAATAGCCCTGTAATATATACGTTTTTTTTCCATTTCAACTACTTCATACAATTTAAATATGGAGCTATACAATAAGCTGCATAACATCTTGATATAACGGGTAAATGATTTTCATATTTAGCAAGTGATAATTTCAAACGTTTAGGGCGTGACTGAGTTGATGTTCTATGCAAGCTATTTGATGATGTTGAAGATGGTGATCTTAACTGCCAACCTTCAGAAAAATGACATGGTCTAAATGGAGCTTGTAAGATATTTGGACGAATATAATTTCCGACAGAAAATTGTTCTAACAAGTTAAGAGAAATACTTTGATCATTATCAGTAGTAGTTATTTGTCTAACCATCACAGAATCCTCATGATCTACATTGATTAACGAAGTTAACAATGAACTCGGTGTATTCTCAATGACTTCATCAATCGTAATACCACCAATCACATACAATCTATCGTACAGTACAAATGAGAAAGCATTGTAACGTGGAAAATCTAGTACAGTGATCTGAGTCCAACAATTCTAAAACACAAAAAAAAATATTTCAGTTATTGAACAATTCGATGAAAACATAAGGAACAAAATAATAAAGTTGACAATATCACAAAATATAAATAACCTGAATATTAGTACTTTTAGTTAATATAGATAAATTACAAACATGTAACCATTGCTTTATATCGAAAATTATTCAATTGCCGATAGTGAACTTGATGAAATGTAAATTGCTTATATAACTCAACAGTGAATACAAACTGTTATTACTATAATTAACAATTAAAAAGAATAGATAGATGGAAAATTGAATAAATGAGAAACAAAACAATAAAAAAATACAGTGCTCACTGAAAAAACAATTTTTTCCTAAATAAAATCCATCAAAACAGTAAGTCAGTTATAAACAAGGTAGAGTCTGACATATATATGTATTGGGTCAATTGGACATAACACATTACCCCGACGAGATGAGTAGCGAAGAAATCGAAATGATGTAGTATCAGTAGTAATGAGAAGAATCAAAGACTGATAATATGAACCAAAAAGACAGTGAAAAGGTAAGTAAGTAATGACAATACTTGTTTGGTCAAAAGCATAATTTTATTCCATTATTATATATTCAACCAGGTTGTTTTTATTGTTCTCCAGATGATAGTTCAATGGTTGGACACGTAAGTAAAAATTGTGGAAAAAATAACTCAGACTCTTCTAAACAGATCCAAAAGATCAGTAAATACAGTACATTTTCCTATTTTAGTTGTTACGAAAAACAAAATAAACTGTTGATTCACGTTTTAATTCTTCTTATCTTTGTATGGTAAAGAATTCTGTTTTAACTGACCTACTATAAACTATCTCTAATTGTCTCCCGACCATATCTGAACTTGACTGATTTCACACTAATACCCTTACTCTTTTGACATTTAATCTACTGTGCAGTGTTATTTTTAGTGGATGACCGCCCATACAACGAATTTTACTCATCTATGTTCAGTAATTTTTGTATTTCAAAGATTAGAAACCACTTAAACTAAAATTTACTGACGAAGCTTTCAAAATGTCGTTTTAGGGGACATTAACAGCTGCTAGTGATTAACTAAATGTTCTTGCTCAGAGAACGCAAAAACATTGTATAAAGCATCTGACCTGTTTATTCTTCTAGACACCATAAACTATATACATGAAACATTTGTCTGAAAGCTTTCAGTAAAGTTCCCCGTTTTATATTCCAATATAATAATATTTATTACAACGAGTGTCAAATTTTTATTCAGATACTGTTAAACTCAGAAATAAACTGGTTAACAGATTATACGAAATTCAAAAACTGAGCTAATAAAGAGAATTTAGTTGATGACTATGACACTATGATCTTAATTTGGTTCCCGTTTATAAGCTCAATCCACGAAATCATATCACATATTTACCTGATGAACGGTCGTTGCTGGGGAACGACAGCATAAAATGTATAGTATATTGCCCCCAAATGCCCTGGTACGGCTGAAAGTGGGGAGAGTCTGCTCTCCTTTGAATGCTCTCACATGGCCACGCATATAGAGCCACTGTCAGAGAAGTCCTACTCACTGCCTTCTCGCGACGGGTATGTTGTTTACGAAATCGAGAGAACGGAAAGCAAATGTCCGCCACTCTAACTGGGATAGTGGATACGGAGGATCCACCTAGGGGAGTTGAAAAACCCTGATTCCAAGCCAATGGTGCACATGAGTCCCAGGATCCTGAAGGAACAAATGGCGTGTGAACCAATTATTGGTCACCGGCTTCCATCGGACTGCATCTCCTGACGTTGCTCCACTGCCTTGTGGATCAGACCTTTATGTCGAAGGCTCCGGATGTAGCTGCCTAAGAAAACCACCTGCTTCGGCCTGAGCACCCGGGAAGTATCACAGCCCACACACAAATCAAGTGGTTTATGTGGCGCATATGTATTCGGTGCCCCTTTGTACCAATATTTGTGTTTTAAATAGGCATAGTATACTATAATAGAGAAATAACCAAAATAGAATATTTTGTAACCATATTATCTACAGAAAATCGATAGACTCACTGTACTAAAATTAAAGCAGAATACTTTATTTGAAATATCATCAAGTTCCGAGCCGTAAACACTCATTCGACCGCCGCACAAAAATACTTGATTTTCTACAGTGTCACAAGCTAATGCCACACTGATCAGAGGCATTGGTAGTTTTGGTAGAAACTTGAAATTTTCTCCATCTTCCTCTGTGGGATCATATAGAAGGGCACAATCAGACGGACGCATTTCATCACCATATTCTTCAAGACCACCGGCAAACATAATAAGACCTTGTTTTTGTCAACAATAAGATTAAATATATAAGTGTAACGCGTAGTGAGAATCACGTTTACCATTGTTAACAAGAACGGCTAATTAAAAATTGGTATTTTTGTAATGATTACTTATATATATATATATATATATATATATATATATATATATATATATATATATATATATATATATATATATATATATATGTCTCGATATCGCTGTTAAGTCACAAGCATTTTAAACAAATATGGAAGGTAAATAGCTATAGTTTTTATACTCGCTACTGTCGTCCTCTATTTGAATAATTTTACACTAGTGTAACAAACATCAGACCTAATAATTCAATGGTAAGATAAAACGTTGTTTTCGGATTTAAAATGTGGTATTAGAACAACTTTTTCACAAGATATAATCAATGTAAACTGGTCCTCCTATCCAGGTACAAAACAACGATTCAATGGAGCATCATGTTAATGATTAGAGTGTATTCTGAAAAACCGAATATAAAATAAGTACGAATGAACATGACCAATTAAAACTAGTTCAATTCAATTTAGTACAAACTGTTGTGCTCAGTTTTTGAGACAACACCATTCGGTTCCCTAGGTCCCATCAAATAAGAGAGGGTTCGAACTGTACAACGGATTGATTAAGAATTGAGTATTTTAGCTATTTGATATAATAGAAACTAATTCTTAGCGTTTATAATGATGCGAAAAGTAACCCTCGTACAAGAGTTCGCTTAGAACAATCCACTTAGACAACAATAAAAGATTTCAAAGTTAAATCTTATAATTCGGTACAAAAGAATATTGTATGATGTCAGTAATCTCACTCCACAACTACGCTGTATAAAAAAGCACCTACATTCACAATTCCATTTTTGTCGTAAAATTTCTAGTCCTTATCAACAGAGTTTGAATCGACTGTATACAGCACAGTAAACAATGGAAAAGTAGGCTGTTACTTTTATGCATATAAGTATAATCTTTTGTAGATTATTTCAGCAACGCTGTTGAGAAGTACGAAATTTTTTAAAACTGCAACCAGAATCACTCAACAAATGACTTTTCTAACCGTTATTTTGAAAATATCGAAGTGCCCGCATAAAGTTGAGTTCGATGCTCTGAAGAGCTCATTCTTAGTGGTTGATTCACAATGATCCATCAAATGTTTCTATCAATATACCTGCATTTTGTACTGTATCATCGTTAACCAGTATTGTAATAGAATTCCTCAGTTTGCCTTGCGATCTCAGACGTGGGAGACTGGCTTAAAGTTATTGAGAAAATAGTGAACACTTCTGCTGTGTGTGTTTCGTGCTACTGAGTCCGGTTTCTGAATAATGTAGTTAGGTATTAATACCTTTGAATTATAATTCAAAGCAACTTAATAACTAGGCAGTGTGTAATAATACTAACGAACACTTCATTTTTTAAAAGTAGAGTCGAATACTAGTAGAAAAAATCAGAAGATCCAGGCATATTTTATAAAATGATACTCATAATCCCCTATTCAGTTTTTTAATATATGTTTTGTAGGTAAGATGAAAAGTTATAAATTTAATGACCAAATAGATTGACACAAATATTTTGAATGAAAAAAATATATACCTTTATGAGTCAATAGTAATGCACATGTATCTACCAAACCAAATGGTAATTTATGATTTGAATTATTCCATTTATTTGTACAGATATCATATGTTAAAATCGAATCGCTAGCTGGTGAATAATTTGTCGCCCAATTTAAGCAATAACCGCCAAATACATATAAATAATTTTCAATACAGATTAACGTATGATGTGATCTAGGAGAGTCCAATTCACTCATTGTATGCCAAACAAGATCTGTTAAACTAAAACGTGAACAACTAAAATGTTTTATAAGAAAGAAAATAAAAAAGAGGATATATGATTAGTTAGTAAAGTTATAAGTTATGAAAGATACTAAACAATTTAAATGCTCGTAGAAAACAACAACCCATTCGGAATGACGTACACTTAATGTACGAGTTGTTGAAATCAAAGTATAAGAAGCAAAGTTTAAACTTGCTACTCAACAAATAGTAGGCGACGTGCAAACCACTGGGTTGAAGTTTAATAATTGAGTAAACGGTTGTCAAATTACAAAAGCAACAAAATAAACATTATTCAACCCATCAGTGGACACTGAGCACAGACATATATAGATACTTTTGCTAAATTGTCAGATAGGTAGACTAGTGGTTTCGAAAGGTGGGAGTTCAAATTCCGAAACAACCCAAGTTATATTTTACTTTTTACCATGATGCCTTTATTAAGATGTTCAATTTAGAATTTTAAAAATTACGAACCATTACGTACATAACGATTTGCAGCATATTTTTCGAATAACATTCAATAGGTAACTTGATTGTACTTGAATCGATGTTGTACTGTAAACATCGCCGTTGTACGACCGACCGTTGCTGGTCGGGCTTGCCTATAGTGATGAACCAATCGAGCTACACTGTCTAGAACAATCGTTCCTCAAGGTCCTACCATGCCGAGCAGGTCGGTAAAAGTAAAATTAGCAGATCCAAGGCTCGAGGGCAAAGTCGTACTACTGATTGTACAGAGGTGTGACTGTAGTAAGGTGTTTCCTTCAAACAACCGGCATAACAACGATGCTGCCTTCCCACGAGAAAGGGTGAGGTTAGAAAAAGTCGACTCTATGAATGCACACCTCGCCTTACCCCATAGATTTTCGCCTCCGGTGGTAAGGTCTCAACAAGTAAGGAACTAACACGAAAATTACTCACAAAAAGGTCGCGTGTGACTCGCCTCAAGCAGTTGTCCCTTGGACACTGCAGTCACGCTCTCTAGTCATTAGGACCAACTCGAGCCGAATTTCCTTTTCAAGTACTACTAGAAGAACCCTTCCACGGTGTGAGAAACCGAGAAATGAGAACCGTCCTAATGCCTCTAACAGCACTCAAGATCACTGTATTCATAATCAATTTCCCTCTTCCTATTTCCCCGTTGAACAAAACAAGTTTTAACATTTATGTGCGTGCATAAAATACCCTATATATTAGGGAACCACTAGAGTGAAATAACGGTGTTAGGCATACACTTGTGATAGGTAATTAAGCACCCATAAATGAAGGAGTTACCGTCTGTGAATTAAAATATCTACAGTGTGGACTGGGTATGTTTTACCAGTTCTAACTAATGTAAAATAAAGTAGAACCATGTTCACAGTCGCGATTTACGTAGGAATGAGATAGAATGCTTTATCTCCAAGTTTAATTGACCGAAACCTATCTAAAGTCTCTTGGAAATAAGAATTAGTGAAAGATTGGTAGCAAATGGTTAATCAGTGCAACGATAAATTTCAGTAACGTAATTTTGAAGATACATTTTACCTACTATCAGTAATTTAAGTAATAAATATATTGAAGCACAAACCTGCAGTCCGTAGTATCTTATTAAAATTGTTGACAGGAAAAAGTGGGTTATTTCAATTCGTGATATGTCAGAGTTTGGGTATATGAATGAAAAGTTTACTCCAAAGAATCCAGTAACACATATCCATCTAGCAATATAATCGTAACCTAAATCACAGATTTTGTCTAGGTTACTTTATTATAATTACGTAATAGATATATATTGCCATTACATACTTTGAAGTTGTTTCCAGAATACCAAAAATGCCAAAGATTGAGAAGAACAATGAAAATGACCAATTCCGTCTATCCCTTAATTCTGCGGGAGAATAAAAGCAGGTGGTTGTATTCCCTCACTCTAGCTGAGTTTTTGTATAGGATTTAAAACATGTTGAGGAGTTCAATATTACTCTCCTGCAACAATGAACCTTGGGGCACATTTATATTCAATGAACTGAGGAAAGTTTTGATTTAAATACACTTGGGTTATTCTCCATAATGTTGATTAAAATTCATTCTAGCCAGTATGTAACAGATATTTGAGAGAAATTACAGGCGATAACCACCGATATTGGTCTGTTAGCACAAGAATAGAAAAAGGTTTTTTGATACTTTTGCCTTATTTAACCTACCTAATAATTTGAATTCTAGTGTTTGTTATTGAAATCAAAGCTAATAACTATGATTTAACTGAGGTATATTGTCGTCCAAACTTTAATAAGTATGGCCAATTATTTGTGATAGGTAGATGAATGCTGACAACCAATCGTATATAAGTTAAAGATAAGGTTTTCACAATTTAATCTCAACAAAAAGATATAACCCCTTTGGATGAGTAGTATGTTATACGAATGGATTTACCATATGACACCTACAAATATTTAAAAAGCCCACCTGAATATCTAGTGTAATTCAACATCCTGATATAAAAACAAATTATCTACTTGATTTAATTTAGCTAACTAAACACCTAATAAATTTTTGTTGAATGTTCAATATGGTTTCAACCTCTACTAATTTACATAACCAATTAACAACCACATATATTTACCAAAGCATGTATGTATGTAAAGTACGTATGTGGTGTGATTAACAAAATATTTTCAATTTCTTACTGGTTTAATAATTCACCCTCTTCAGATTCACCACCTACTACATATATCCAATTAAGAGAAGCAGCTACACCATGATGTACTCTTGAAGCAGCATACGGAGGTGTATATGTAGTAGCAACACTTAAATCTTCATTATAAACCATAAATTCATTCGACTGCAGTTCATAAGATGCTGAAGTGTTCTAAAATAAAACAAGAATATATACATGCATTTACATGGGGAAACCATAGGCCCACCAAACACCTATTAAATCTTGAACAGTAAATTGAGTTACATTGTAGCTCAGTATCCTAATGAATTAAACTCCAATACTTCAAATATCGCTTGTGAATGCAAATCTCTCAGAAATGTATATCAATTCCAATAAAAAAGACCTTAACAATTGACTAATATGAAAGAGCTATCGTGAGTATGTAGCAATTCAATTTCTCTAGTTGTAGATAATTATCATTAATTCGATTTGGCACATGAAATGACCTTAATTACACCATTCGTAAATCAACAGGCTGTCCATTTAAGAAAAAATTAAAAGTTCCCGGATGATGCATTGGATCGCTGTAATATATGTAATACCTAAACAATTACTGAACTAATATACTTAAAACGATCTTATATCACATGTTTGTTCTCTACATCTAATGTTACTATATATATCAAATTGATCATGCCTGTAAACTGGAGTGAATTCTGTAATTATTATTTTCAGAATATATATATATATATATCCCGTAATTCAAAACCTACGTTATTGAAATCACTTTCCCCTCCAAGTCCATAGACACGATATATGGTTCCAACCCTTGGTTTATATTGTTTAGGATCTATAAGTGAATTCGGTAAAAATTGATAACTCCAAATATCTGATATTGAAAATTTTTCTAATTCATTAAGAAACGATGGTTGATTTAAAGAATTATGTGCCAAAAATAAGAACTGTAAGGCATCATTAGCTGCAGAGTATTTTGGATTACTAATTATTTCCATCAATTCATTTCTCGTTATCTTTGGAGGGGAAAAAAGTAAAACGAAGTCATAGATACATATAAAATGAGATTTTGTACATTTATAACTACTTATTAGACAACTTATTAAAAACAACAAATTTTTACAAAAATTTATTTAGTCTGGGATAAATTCACACTTCGTGAGGTAACCGTACCCATGACAATCAAAACATTTATTCAGGTGTTCAGTAGTGCATATATGTGCATTTGAACAGTTTATGATAATAATATAAAGGAAACCTAAATGATTGATAAAATTGAACGAGATAGAAACTAGCACAGGTTCTCAATAGTTTCACACAACTACATGCTTCATGAATTTTTGAATAGTGAAAACCAAGGTGGTTTATATGCTAATCTAAACTACTCGTACCTATGGTGCTGTCATGACGTTATTATAATAACTCAAGATTTGATGTTCATTGATTAAACAAAAACTATTATCAAATTTATATATCTAAACAGGGAATTAAATGGTCCCAAATCATTCAATGCCCATCTTGTTCATTTGATGGAGAGACAAATTATGTACAAAAATATACAGTTTGATAATATAAGTACAAGAAGTCGACTAATACACAAAATAATTAATAGGTTTTACTCAATGGTATTAAATGGAAACGTTGGACTGGCTGGCACTCTGTAATTTTAAGGAAAATAATGCTGTCCGAGGATTTGAACCAGTGTTAAATAACACCGTGATCAAAGACGTTATTATTACCCTCAAACTAAGCTTTGTTTCAATCGGAATTCATCAGTAAGGTATTTACATGACATTGTAACAAAATAATATGAATGCATTTATTTCGCAAATTCACTTTAGCTGGTTACGATCGAGAAACGACAATAATAACGATTGTTCTTTTAGATGTATAAATTTGATCTGAATCTTTTTGTTAAGATAGCATCAACAAAGTTATTTAGTTACTGTTTGTGTGTAAATGTTTTTAAACTCTAATACTGTATCGACCATGACAAAAGTCATTTTATTCCCAGATACCTTTATGCACTTGGCAGTCTTCTATCCCACAACATTTACGTAACACAAATAACCAACTATATGAACGAGTCTTTTACTTCTCTCACAATCATTCGCTTTTTACTAACCTACATCTATGTCAATCTTAACTTTAATCAAACGTTTTTTTTGTATAGTGTGTACACTTGTTCTGCTTTCTAATAATAATATTTATTATTATTATCGTTTCCCGGCCATAAGCAGTTAAGCTGAAACCACACAATAGATGCATCCACAATATCTTGCTACGACTGTTTTTACTGCTACGCTGACATTGATCAGCAAAATTTGAACAGTTCCATGAATTAAAAAAATAAAACATTAGCTACTGTTCAGTGAGCACTCAGTATAAACCGAAAATCCTAGTCAAAAAGAATGAACAACTCACCAAAGGTAATCTTACAAGATGAAGGAAGTTATTTTTGAAAAACTCCATTCGACGTTTAACATCATGACAAAGCCATACAAGTATTGCTTCCAAAACAACACGTTCCTGAGATATATTGATCTGATCACTTTGAAATATTTTTGCGATCTGTTTGGTAGTTAAATTCACAAAATCACTTGAGAAATAATCGATTAGTTGGAATTCGTGCCAGAGGAACAATATGGCTTTTTTAAATAACGCATCATCATCGAACCAATGTGCCAAATTCATAATCTCTAAAAATTAGCCAATAAAATAAAAGTATGGATACAATGGAAAAGCAATGCCTGCATACTTTATACAAGATTTCAGCGGTAATTCAGATTGGCTATTTAAAGCAGTTCACTAACCAGCAAGGTGAACAAGTATAACTCATCCTTCAAATATCTGAACAACCATCGTTTTGTAGTCCTTCAGGTGAAGGCATACTGCTGAGGTCCGAAACACAATGAATACCTCATATACAATATCAAAATTGAGAAAAATTCGAAATATCCATCCATCGATAGCATTAGTCAATGAAGAATTCAACTGCTGGGCTGAACCATGTAGATGGGTCCACGTAATTATCGTAACCAACGGTTACAGACTTTGTGTGATATGGCTGAAAATCGTTCGCAATCGCCAAGGTCCGTTCACTCTTTGATTTCCCTTAGATCCAGTCAGTCATAACATAGAACCTGGACGGATGTACATTGGTTCAAGTTGCCATACCATATTAGCACACCGAGACAAAGATGTCAGGCCAAATCCCATAATGGTAGAGGTAGTAACGGTAACAGTGGTAATAAAAAAGATTAAGCATCGAGGATACAACCCGAAAATAATATACAGATAAGAGACGTGAAAGCCGAAAAAGTTATGAGGGATTTAGAATCTCAAAATTTGAGCGGAAGACAAATAATGGATGCACCCATATCATTGCAAACGACTTTGAACCATGTCATTCAAATTTTCTAACTAAGGGTTACGATCATCGCATGACCCCCAGCTAGGTAGTCTGTACCTATCAACATGGCTAAGTCAAATTGTTAGTGACTGCATGGACTGATACCATGTTTTGGTTTGGTCATCCGTAGCTTTTTTTCTAGCCTTCTCCTACACCAGAAAACATCTCCCGTCAATGCGGGTGGTGGTTAAGCATGCGTAACACCTGTCCCAACCACCTCAGTTAATGGATATTTACTACCTCTTCAATCTATTTCCCACCTTTAACTAGTAAAATATTAGCGGCCTATGCATCTTTTACTCCATGGTCCCAAAATACATCATCCTAGGTTCCTAAATTACCGTATACACTTTTTGATTCCATGAACTGATATTTTCTTTTTGAATTATATCTTCCTTTCCTAGTCATTGCTATTATCACTTATTCTGTTAACACGTCGGATCTGTTTCAACGATTTCTTCTCGATGTCCTAATGAGGTGTGACAACTTGAACTGGTGTACACATCTATCAGGTCCTAGGTTGCGCATGACTGACTGACTGACTGGTATCCATGCCATCTGTACCACAATACTAGGCTTTACGCACAACACTGTCTCCTGATGCTGAAATCAATAGAGTAAATGGTGATCATAGGATGAGCGAAAGTTTTATCTGCCAGTGATTTTATGATTAACCTCAAATCCCATCGTGAATTTTTAAAGATTATACTACTCACTAACCAGGTGCATCGTTAGAACAGAAATAAAGTCAATAATGATCATGCTTTAGTTTATTTTGTCATTGATTTAAGCAGCAGTATACGCTGAGATATCAAAGCTTCTTTCAATACACCATCTGTGGTTGTTTCCCTTCTGATATATCAAAAAGCGTTTCCAGTGTATATAATAAGTGGTTATAAATAAATGGTTATTACCCTAATCTCTTACTTTGGTTTATGTAGTGACGAATATGTATACCATCAACACACAAAAAATGATTTAAATCACACCGACAACATGCCCTTGTATTTCGAAAGCAACAAAAATTAATAATACAGAGCATATAATTCTCGAAACACAGTCACTCTAATAAGACTTTCTGATCAAATGTATCACATTTGGTTACTAGTTAGTCTCCAAGTATAAATTTACCGAAAATTAAAATTAAATTTTAAAAAATTCTGAAAAAGTGTTAGCATGAAACAGTAGTATGACTTACTAAGAACATTATCTGTACAGAGAGTCCCTTCTAAACGAAGACTCATCATTTTTCGAAGACAGTGTACTTGTAGGAAGCTTGACGCGATATATACATCCTGATAATCTTCAGTAGGAATAGAATCATGAACTTGACCAATCGAATTAATGAACAGCATGACATGGCTGAGACCAACATGTGAAACGTAATCACATTTGATTTCCAAACGAGGTTCTTCAACTGAATTTTGCTGAAAACTGAACAATGCCCTAAAGTAGTCACTAGAGCTAGCCAAGAGTAGACTGTTAGTCTTGAATTCATGATCATTCATGACAACGGTTACATTTGAAAATAATCCTTCTTGGATGAGCTCCAAAACTGTCCCAGATACAGATTTAATATGCTCTTGCAGAAAGTCATTCATTCTTACCGTACAGCCATTGAATAAATATACTCACTTTTTGGTTGCCAATAAGGGATTATTAACGCACGTAAATCGGATAAGCTGGAAGACAATGCACCTGTAGAGCTATAAAGTGAGAGTAATGTGTATATGTGGATGGATAAAACACATATTATCAAGCTATGAACATGACCAGAAGTGACTAGTGTGTAGAGAAAACATTGCTAAAGGGGAACAAAATATGTTTTAGTATTTTCGAACGAAATATACTTGTTATAACTTGTGGCCCGAGTTCCCTGCTAATGTATAAAGTAATGATACCGCCAATTAGAGCGTAGTGAATTATCGATCGGACCAATGACTCATAAAACGCGTACGAGCAGTCTAGAGTCCTTATTAGTCCTGCTTCCTGCTTATCCCAGTCAGTTAAGTCCAGAACACCAATCACAGCCTCTGCGATATGAATAATTTATTTTAAGCATACTGGGTTTATATACCAACCAGACAGACCACATCGTACCATAAAATAGGAAACAACAATTTTACAAGATTTAGCCAAATGTGGCTGTGGATATGGGAGGTAGTAATTAATAGACCAGGCATAACTCAAGAATGGTAAATCGTATAATAATATCATACACATAGTTCCCTTTATTATTTTAAAGAGAGCAAGAACAAAGGTTGGTGCAGAATAATATGAATTCATTTTATTTCGTCAGGTTCTCATCAGCTGCTTACAACCTAAAATATTTGAAAATCAACATTATTATAGATATTGACATACTTATACAACAGAAGGCGATGAAGGATGAATATATGTAACATAATGTGGTAAAGATTTCGTTAAAGTTAATGAGGTCATAAAATTTTGTTTCGAATATATAGTTTGGGAGGGAAGGTTTCAGAAAATTGAAATGGTGATTAGAAATCATGGAATTAAAACATATTAGACGATTATGTAATGAAGTGACTGAAAATAGATTAATGTTAATAAAGAGAGATATGAATTGAAATTGGTCAGTTATAAATGATGTAATTATAAAATTCAGAAAGAGGTGAAATGACGTAATAAAAATAAACAAAAATAAAAGGGAGTGGGGTGAATGTTACCAGGGCAAAAAAAGATTTATTACTGTTTCTTTTTGTATACAAAGATCTGGTTTTGAACGTTTGATTGCTATTGCTTCTGCGAATATCAAAAGGTTTGAATTCGATTGTTTGTTGATCACCTTGAAAGACTTCAGTATATCGACTTAGTATCCTGTGTCAAGGAGATTTCTTGCGACAACGCTGCTAAATGCTTTTAGTCCGTTTGATCTCAAACTCTTCGGAATATGTTCTTTGAATCGGACGTAGGAAATCTTTTCTGTTCTACCATAGGTCAAAATAAGGCTCATAATAAGAGGGACATGAATATGTACAGTTTAGTTATTTGACAATTATACGATAAAAATATATGCATAGTACTGGTCCATAAATGGATCCCAAAAGTTACCATACATTATGCTTATTGGGGCATAACAGTACTTAACCTTAAAAATCTATCTTTCGATATGTTAGATTTTGGATCACATTAAGAACTGTCCGACACATACATAACCCCACTAAAATTTGAAATAAAATACCTATATTAAAGACCTGCAATAGATTAGCATAATTAACTACGTCCAGTAGCAACAGAATTATTTAGCAAAATCATAATTGGTTAGGTCGTATAGCATTACATGGCGAAGCATGACAGCATGAAGTAATGAGGAAATATTTTATAAGCCGCAATTTTTATTTGAAATATTTTATCAAGCAAAAGTTTAGTCGTTTAGTTAGATTTTATATCCTCCTTAAACCTTCAAAACAAGGCGCAGACTATCGAAAGGATTAGGAGATAACCTAATATTTCAAACACTGAAAAATAAACTGACTGTCAGTCGTCCAGATGAATTTTCATCTTTGTGGTGTTGGTTACGTAAAAAGCTTATTCGCCGAAATTTGCTTAGGATTATGGATTTGACTAATCGAATTGATAAAGAGCATGACATGACTGAAACCAAAATGTAAAACGTGACCACATCACAGCTGTCTTTGGTGTATTGTTTGGTTTCTGAGTTAAACATTTCCTAGTAAACTGCTAAATTTTCAAAAGTTCCTCAGTCATTAGTCAGTCTCTATGTCTCTCCAATGAGTACAGTGCTTTGCTCTACTCAGTGATGAAAATGACGTGCTTGCTTCTCTTTTGAATGACGGGATAAAATATATTATTTATGACGAGAAGTGCCAAGAAAGTACCGGCCTTCTACGAAGCGTATACACAAAGTCATGTGGCTCAGTGTTGGTAGCTACGTAGACTATGCTGCTTTATGAAGTTTACTTTGATTCAAGTTACAAACAAGAAGGGAATCCCTAGTGCATAGTAATAGCTAGCACGTTATTACTAAAGACTTCATTTTTTGATGATGATGATGAAGAATGTACTATTAACATTAGTGGACATTAGCAGAGTAGGTGTTTGGAGAGAAATAGGTGAGACCATAATTTATGGACGACCTTTGAGAGACGCTCAAGTGACCTTGAAAGTGTCTACTTACTAGAACTAAATGAGGGTTATATAACAGTTTGAAGAATAAAGATTATGATTTACAGTTGGTGGTTAGGTTTAAGAATTGGATTAAGAGTTTTCATCACGGACTGACATCAGCTATAATGCCAAGGCTCTATTTAGCCAAATAGGTGAATGGATTTCGCGCCAAAACCTAAGACCTCTTATCGTAAATCTGATTAGTTCGTCCATAAATTATAGTCTCGCCGAGAATTATTTGCATGAATTATTTTAAATTTCTGTCAAGGCAACCTACACCGTCGAATAAATGAAAGAGCCGGCGAATCGAGTTACGCTACTTAAAACTGCAAATTACTCTTAGGACTTGACACTAAAATACAGGTCTAAGTAAACCCAGATGAGTCAAAATATACAATGAAGGGGACTGAGAACCTCCATCTCGGAAGAATACCGTAAACAACCTACCACAAACAAAATATGGCATAGATCATCCCACTGTGCTAATTGGGTGTGGCGACTTGGACCGCTGTACATAATCACTTGGTTTTACGTTGTCACTGACCAATTCACTGTAATCTTAACTCGCAGTAGACTTCAAAAGAAGATATAAGAACAAGATAAACGAGACACCGTTACCAAATGCTTGGAAACTGAAAGGACCAGATTTACTTGGAGCAACTGGTTCTTGAAAACAGTGAGGAGGAAAACGATACGTTAATTAGAGTCCATGTTGTGAGAGGAATAGAGTTGTACAACGGATAAAAACTTAAGTCTTGAAAGTGTGCTGCTAGTAGCTATATGAACGAAACATGTAATAAGTTGAGGGACTAGTATACGGATTTCTATATTTTCATAAGATTCCGTGACTCAGAAGCATTGTACTGCGTTCGTCGGTGAACTGTGATTTATCCGCGAGTAAGGACTGGGTTTTCAAGCCCAACTTTTAAAGTAGTACATTTAAACGTAGCGTGGTTTATTACAACCCAGGCAACCAATTATATTGAACATGATGTAAAGGGCACGTCATGATTGTAGTAAGGATTCTCAGTCCATTGGCCTAACACTAACCCATAGACTGCACGATAAATGCAAACATTCTTTTTCCTCTAATAAAGCTACAATCCACTATTAATTAGGATTTAAGACATATAATATGAATTATAACAACACTCAGTCTAACTACACAGGGAAAATGCTAACATAATTGATTAGTGACACATCCAAAGGCTGGCTACTTAACTCAAACGCGATGAATCTTAAAGTCTCCTAGAAAATGTCCCGATACTACTAATCCGAAATTGCGGATAACAGGACAGCAATGTAATCGACATTAATCTGACGATTACAGGACTTTCAAACCCTTCAACAGTTCCAAAATAAATATTCGCACATAACAAAGTGCACTTGTACACATTATAGGCATGCTTAAGAAAACAAGTAATCTCCAAATTACTCCCAACAACAATGGTCAAAACTAGAATCCATGTACTTCCTCCTTAATGACGGACACAAGAAAACTTCACGGTGAACTTATTCGTTTCACTTGGGCTTTTATAACCCGGTGAAAATACTGCTCCCGATATTACAGTTTTATGGGACAGTGTAACAGATTATACTACCAACCTTGAAACTGAAGTTACCTCCAACATTCAATAACCAATAACTTCCAGTACCTAATTTCTATGTGACAAGCTCATGCGAACCAGTTGATTTCTTGGCTCTCTATTCTTGTTGTCTCGGTGCGGTTGCATAACCTGTAATAATATTAAATGGGCAGTAATCTAATCAGTCGACTGCTCAAGCTCTGGTCATTTTGGTGGTTATTTGTCAGTTTGTATATTCTGTAATTTGAGTGTGTTGGTCTCAAGTCAGCTCGGTTTCTGGATACGCACAGCCATAAAATTTCCAGAAAATAGATCGATTGGTTGTAGCATTGAGTATAATGATGATAAAATTAGAAAGGTAAAAGATAATTGTCTCTTTAAGTACATAAGGAAGCTAAGTAACTGATAATACGGACAAAGTTATCAGTCCTGTGTACGAATAAAAAGGAAGCATAGATGATAACAAGTGGTATATGATTATGTTGATGACATGTGATAGTGGTAATTGCGCACAAGTATCGAGACGTTCGTAAGGTGAAGGTCGTCCATAAATAGTTTAATCAATGAGTGAATGGTGCTGCATATTGAGTGAACTGTGACCACTTCTGCTGCAAAAGTGTTCCAAATGAGAGCTTCTCTTGATAGTAAAAAGTGAGGGCATATCTGCGTCCTCGCTCCTTGACGTGCACTTTTACGAGAGTTGCTTCGCAGGCGTAGAGGTGATATTTTTGTTGGATGTTCATTTTGCGGTGACCTGGAGTACTTAGTATTTTATTTATGACCATGAGACTACTTCTTGCTTTCCTGCATCTTAGCCAAGTTTTGAAGTCTTTATTCGTATGGTTTGTTCCTTAGCCTCATTC